TCGGAACATAAGAAAGTGTGTGGACTCTACTTGACTCGTGAGTGATTAAGTGATGCTATAAGACTCGTGGTATGATCGTATGGCTAGACATGTGAACGGTAACCAAAATGACCAACACGCAAAACAAATTAGCACGAAAGACCAAAATAAGTGCTGACTGGACTTAAACTTGGGCACCGTGTCACGGCGAAACTGTTGTGACACGGTAAACCTGCACCGTGGCGCGGTACAGGACGCCCCCACGTGACATGGTACTGATTACCGTGACGCAGCATTTTTCGTCGTGGCACAGTAATCAATGTCAGGTTTTTATGTGATTTTACCAGCTTTTTTGTCAGTCTTAAAGTTTGTGCTAATTACTAAGTGAGTACGGTCCATTGGCAATTGTTAGTCACAAACTAATCCACCATTGACAAAGGAAGATCGTTAAGGTTAGGATCAAAACGATCAAATATACACACATAGGACACGTACGCACAATGATGCAAACAATAGTTCGCAACCTAAGGTCCAGTTCTATGTTCCACTATGGTCAGGTTTTATTTGGTGTCAAAAGGGTATCAAGGTTAAGAGTTTGGACACATTAGCAAGGGAGCCTCCCTTTAGGGTGAATGCCAACGGCGACTCCGCGAGTTCGTGATGAAATTGCCATGAGCGTTTTTGGGATGATAGAACTTAAATCCCTCGGGGCTAAGATGTATGTAGAACATACACGTTCTATTCAGAAAAATCGAAGGAAGCTGACTGTGAGAAGAGAAATAAATCCACTAGAAGGATTTCAGGACTGCCGCGACATAGCAGAATCTACCGTGTCACTGTGCTGGACAGCGCGTCACGGTGCCCTGCGCCATGACACGGCAAGCTATGTCGTGGCATGACAGTCAGGAAATATGACTAGTGCCCCTATTTTCTTTGTTTACGACCAGGTTACCCAATTTTTCATACGGGACAGACCTGAAATACGACGTTAAAATGTCTATGCATATGTAAAAAATGCAAATTTAATCACAGTATTATTTTCAAGAATCTTTCAAGTTTCATCTACTCATCTTAATTAAAAAGCAATCACTTAAATCGTTAAATAACTAAGAATCATCTCCAGTGGAGTCGTCAAATTGTAAGCGTCGTTCGAAGTGCCTACGTTAAAAGCATGTTGTGAATATGCTTGACGCTCATAGGAAGTGGGAATTGACGTATACGATTAGGGACAAATATAGTAGGGTGCCGCCAACAAGTTTTTAAGGAACTTATAAACTGTTCACGGATCATAAAAGGCAACCACGAATAAAGGAACAACGATTATTATGCTAAATTGGTTGAATATTAATGCAACACATAATTCTAAAATATTGTGATCACTTGATTTAATAACAAGATTAAAAAGGAACCTAAACCAGTCGTCCAAATTATCTTATTAGTCATGATTTTTAATTACATATTCCCTGTAAACATGCAATATGGTGATCATTGAATTTAATAAAATAAACATTAATATTGGAAGCAATTTATCAATAATAGTGTTAGTCAAATCAAATAGAATTTAACCTAATCATGATACTTGCAATAATAAAATAAATTAAGTAATTAAATTAACTAATTACTCACATTCCGCGCGTTCCTTTAAATTGCTACATCATGAATAAATTGTTAGTAACTTAAATAAAAAATATAAATCAAATAAAAATTAAATTAAATAAAATGTAGAGTTGATTTGGTCCAAACCCTTAGTTATTTGACCTTTCACACCTTGGTTTAAGGACGGAACCTCGGGTCGAGTATGGACTCCTTGGAGTGCTTAAGGGAAAAATGGTGTAATTAGTAATATAGGTTTAAGGCTTAGAGTATGAGAGAGAGAGAATGATTTGTGGTGTAAAAGAGAGGAAGAGAGAATGATTTTGTGCCCCGAACTGTAGAAATGAGTGGATATTTATAGGGAAAATGATCGGAAGGAACACACATAACCCTAAAAAGATAAAAACCCTAAAAAACACTACCGCAACACGTCAAAGGTTGCCGCGACACGACAAGGATTTCCGTTACGCAGGGTACTTTGGTGTGACGCGGGACAGAAACAGACCAATAGAGGATAAAACGTGTAAGGGTAACGCAGAGAAAACACGAGAAATCCGAGTGACACGGAACATCTACCGTGTCACGGCACTACACACCGCGACGCGGCAGTGTCCACCGTGGCACGGTACAGTACACTGTGTCACGGTAAAAACAAAGCGTGAGAATAACACAAAAAAGATGCAAAAAAGCATCGTGACACGTAAAGAATACTGTGTCACGGTACCAGGCACTGCGCCACATCATCAAGTACCGTGGCATGATAATTCTACTTAATGCTCGGTAATTCCAGTTTTAAACACATATTTAAAATTATCATAACTTTTGATCCGTAACTCGAAATAAGGCTTATAATATATCATTGGAATGGTTATCAAGTATACTTTCCAACCCAATTAATTTCAGGTAAATATTTTTTTTTTAGATTATAAGATATGGTCGTTTTACTAGAAGGGTGTTTGTTTTGGGCCGAGTTTAGTGTTTGACTCATATCTTCTTCGTTTTAAATTGGAATTGGGCTTATGGTATATTTTTGGAAAGATTATTTAAATTCCTATCTAACCAAATAATAATTGGATCAAAATTATAAGGCAACAAAATCATTTTTGCTTGGTTTTGCGATGTGGACACGAAAAGAGGAAAACAAGTTATGGTGTAGGGAAATGAGCTAGGAAATTGATTTGTTTATGAAATGTATTGAATAAAAAACATGGATTAAGCACTCTAAATATTAAATAGTCAACCTAACCAATAATGGCAGTGAAAGATTGTTCATCATAGGGTTTGGTTTTGGGAGACATTTTTAGGTGTCTACAGTTTGCAACACATTACCAACAACCTAATATGAAATTTAATTATACAACAATCTCTCTTTTGCATGTAATTAAATTTCATATCAAATTTTGGGTTTTGTTCTTATTACCATGTTACTAACTTAAGCCCATGTCATAAAAAACCCATGCCAAACTATCTTCCCAAAATTTGTTCTACCAACACAAACCAATCCTCAAAAAATAGCTTAAGACATACAATTCATTTTTTACATCTTTTTTTTACGGGAATTCATTTATTACATTACTGTAGACACCTAATTGTGTCTTCCCAAAAACCAAACCCAATGATAAATACCTTTCATGTCATTTAATTATCGAACAAAGTGAAAGTGTGAAAAGTCATGTAATGCTGTTATTTTCATAAAATATCTTTCTAACTAATGAGTGACATTTATGTCAATGTTAGAGAGTAGATTGAGAGTCCTTTTCATGCTTGTTTTCTCGTATTTTTCCCTTTTATTATTTTGGTATTTTCAGCGTTTTTAGTTTATTTGGTTGATTTCATTAGTTTAAGTTTTATTTCTCTTATTTTTATTATTTATTTCTATTTTACTTATTTTATTTTATGTCCGGATCCTCTCCTCGGTTTTCTTTCTGTGTGTAGGTTTGCTTTCAGATTGAGGTTCGAGTGTCAAGTTATTCTTGTTAGAGGTTCAAAGATCAAGTGTAGCATACTCTTGACCAAAATGTAACTTTAAGTTGCTGTTTTGTGCTGCCACCGTTGCCCATCACCCCACCTTTCCCTTATCCTCCACCACAACAACACCAGCTAATTCCCCTGCTCTCTCTACTTCACTGCTCCCCTGCTCCAATTCACACTCACCAATTCTTACAAACTTCACCACACCACCAAACCAACTCCCGCTGCCACAACCGCACCTAATAACATCCCTGATCACATTAAACCGCCACAGGCCACCACGCAAAGCCCTAACTCACTTCCCATGCAGCCGCGCTGCACATCTCCTCACTCACCCACGCACTTTACCACCCAACTCCACTACCGCAACCCTGTTGCTTCCCTGCTACCATCCGCATCACAACCCCACTCCCTCACGCATACATCAGCTCGGTCATCAACACTCCAAATCAGCCACATCAAACCACCTTTCGCAGCAACCGCACTTACCGCGGCCGACACTAGCACCTTACGACCCTTGCTATTTCTGGCTCCCAATCGCACCAAATCTCACTCTTATAATCAACAACTGCAATAACTAATGCCACCACCCTACCAATTCTTGCAAGAAATGTGGCAAAATAAGAGCAAAATGGCATATAGGACATGGTTCGGGCAAACTGTTAAGAGTTCGATCGAAGTGCCAAAAAGTGTTAAAAACGGGCAGGAAGGCATGAAGTTTTCTAATTTGAACAGGTGTGGTTGAACATACCCATGGTTCTACCGAACCAACCCAAAGTTCAGCCAAACCAACCCTCTGTTCGACCAAACCCCTTCACGGCTTCTCACTTGGTTGTTAATGAAGATCGACCGGTGGTGTTTGCTTGATGCCGAGTTTCAATGATGATGAGCAATGGTGATTTGATGATGATGGTTGTTAGTTTGATTTTGTGAGGTGCAAAGTATGGGATTATTTCCCTTTGAAGCATAATCGAAAAAGAAAGGAAATGGGCCCGACGGTTTGGGGAACTTGTGGGTTTCAATCCCTTTTGCATGCACTCGGTGTACAGTATTTTTACTGTGCATCGGGTTGTTTGCACGTGCCTCTCTTTTACTGATTTTTTTTACAAAAAATAAATAAATAAAATCGCGGAATTTCATTCCTTAAAATAAAAAAACGCAGAACAATAATGGAGGAGAGAGAAAGTGAAAAAACGCAGCTCTCAATATCAATTGAGGAGAGAGAAAGTGAGAAAACGCAAAAATTGCGGAAATCGATTTTCATCAATTGAGAAGAAAAAAGGTGAAAAAACGCACAAATTGAAAAATTCGATCATCAATTAAGCACAGAGAAAGTGAGAAAACTTACAAATTGCAGAATTCGATCATTAGTTGAGAAGAGAGAAAGTGAGAAAACGCACAAATTGGAGATTTCGATCATTATTGGAGAATTCGACTTTTGATACCACAAATTGTAGCAATCTCTTCCACGAATTGCTACAAAAACAGAGGCAAATTGAAACTGAATTTGAAATCGATTTAAATCGATCGATTATAGAAGAACAAGAAACTAAGAGTTTTAGAGATGAATTCGTACGAATATTCAACAATCCAAACAATGGAGACGATGCAGAAGAAGCAATTAACAATGCAGAAGAAGCAATTGAGAATGCAGAAGAAGCAATTGATAATGTAGAAAATCAAGTGGTTCCTGGCAAATCAATTGATTCAAATTCAGAACAAACAACCAAATCAAATGCAACTGAAGGTAATTTCTATAAAATTTTCAGATTGTATGCAAAACGTCTTTGAATGCGTAAATGTTACCGTTTTCATGCATAAACGTGACCCTATTTATGCACAAAGGTTACCCTAAGATTGTATGCAAAAAATTCAGATTGTATGCAAAAAGTAACCCTTTGTATGCCTTAAAGTTACCCTTTTCATGCATAAAAGTGACCCTATTTATGCACAAATAATGTTACCCTAAGATTGTATGCAGAAAATTCATATTGTATGCAAAAAGTAACCCTTTGTATGCCTTAATGTTACCCTTTTCATGCATAAAAGTGACCCTATTTTCGAACAAATGTTACTCTTTTGTTGCCTCCAATTTGAATGATATGCTGCCTCTGGTTATTATCTGATTTAGTTGTATTAAATCACAGATACAAATCCAATTCATGCTTCTGGTTTAGATTTTAGAGGTTCATTTCTTGGTGTGGTAAAAGAAACTTTTGAAGAAATTTTGGAATTGTATAAAAAACATGCTCCTATGATGGGGTTTTCAATACGAAAACATACAACTAGATACAAGACACACATAAAAATAGTAACTGAGAAAAATTATGTGTGTTCTGCTGAAGGAAAGAGAAATTCAGGTGACAAGAGAACAAAGTTAGTTGAAATGGTTGATGAAGAGGATGTGAATGTAAAAACAAGAAAGCCAAGACAAGTAGCCATTACAAGATCGAATTGCAAGGCATGCATAAGAGCAAAAGTGAATAAAGAAGGACAGTTTGAGTTAGTGGCTCATGTTATTCAGTATAACCATGAGCTAACAAGGTCACAGTGGCATTATTTGCATCGTTCTGAAAGAAAAATAACAGAAGAAAAAGCTGAAGCAATAAAAACTATGAAATCTTCAAGTCTAACTACAATGGACACTTACAATTACATGGCTATAAAGGCTAGAGGAGAACATAATGTAGGTCATAGTGTTGTAGATCACCTGAATTTCTACTCAAGGTTAAGAATGGAACAAATTGAGGCTGGAGATGCTCAAACTTTAGTGAACATTTTAAATCAGGAACAATCAGAGGATCCAAACTTCTTTTTTAGAGTTAAGTTTGACAAGGAAGGAAGAATTTCCAATATCTTTTAGAGTAATTCAATGATGCTAGAAGACTTATAGGATATATGGATATGTGCTTGCCTTTGATACAACATATAGAACCAACAAATATAATCTTATATGTGCTCCATTTGTTAGAATAAATAATCACTAGCATAATTGTATGTTTGCATATACTTTTATTGGGGATGAAAAAACAGATTCATTTGTGTGGCTACTAGAAACCTTCTAGAAAGCTATGGAGAATAGAACATCAACTTCAATATTCACTAATCAGGACCAAGCAATGGCAAATGCAATTGAGTAGGTAAAAGATTTATATTGACATTTTACTGATCTTAATTTCTGACAATAATGATTTCCTTTTTCCCATAAAGCGTCCCTTTTAACTGCATAAAGTTACCCTTTTAACAGCATAAAGTGGCCCTTTTAACAGCATAAAGTGACCCCTTTATTTCAATGTAGGTGCTTCCTAATACAAGGCCTAGACTTTGTATCTGGCATTTGGAACAAAATGCCATAACCAGGTTTGGAGCTCTTAAAAAAGACAAAGAATTCAAGTATGCATTCAACTAGTGCTTAAAGATGTGTGTGACAAAACAAGAATTTGAAGCAAAATGGCAGGCAATGATGCAGAATTATGAGTTGACAGCACACTCTTGATACCAAAGAGTGTACGAGTTGAAAGAGAAATAGTGTCCTGCCCTTAGTAGAGATTTCTTTTCAGCAGAAATCTGATCGTCACAAAGGAGTGAAAGCACAAATCATGCAATAGGATTCAGAGCAAGTAAAGCAACTATCTTGACAGAATTTTATACCATATTTAAGAAGACAACCAATTGCTAAAGAAGCACAGAGAAATATAATGAGTTTACCTGTAGCAAGTCAATAGCATTCACTTCATTGCCACTGTCTGGAATGCTAAAGCATGCTGCACAGGTAAAAAGTTAACTCATAAGTACATAAATTACATATAAATTATAGCAGTTTAAATGTAGCTAAATGATTTTGGTGAACAGTTTTTCACTTTGTCACTCTTTAGAGATTTTGAAGAGGAGTTTGGATACTCTATGGAAACAACTGTTCCACTAATAGGAAGAAATGAAGAATGTTTACTTTATCAAGTAGCCCTGGAAGACAAGCCATGGTCTGCATATCAATTAAACTATATACATGAGAGCCAGAGTGTATGGTGTACTTGCAAAAATTTTGAAGCATCTGGATGGTTATGTTATCATTGCATCAGAATTCTACACTTGCATTCAGTAACAAGAATACCAGGCAAGTATGTTTCAAAAGATGGACTAGGTTTGCAAAAACAGAGGCATGGGATAGGTTGAAGAATCATGATCCTACACAACAATATATTCCAAGGAGACAAACATTGACAAGGAAATTATACAATCTAATCTTAAAGAGTCAAGAAAATGAAGAGATAAGAGAATTTATGGAAGAAAGCTTCAGAAATACTCTTAAAATGGTGGAAGACTTACTTGCTAGTGCTGCTCAGAGAGAAAGTGCAGAAGCTGCTTCTAATATTCCTAACGTGGCAGACAGCAATCACGACAATAATGATGTTTCTTCGGCATTGAGTACAAGCACAAGTGTACCAACAATACTTGATCCAAAAAGGGCTGTAACAAAATGAAGAAGCAAGAGAGAAAAAGGAGGTCTTGAAAAAAGCAAGAGAAAAAGAAAACCAACACTATCACCTCCACATTCAGAATTTGGATCTAAAACACCTAATTTGAGACTCTTTTAGGAACTTTTTTAGATCATTTTTTTTCTCAAAATTAATGTACTTTGTATTCTAAAACTATATTTTTTTTTACTTTATGACTAGTTTAATGAAAATGCGATTGACACTATTATTAGCATATCTTTATTTAGTTAAACGTTTAAATCAAGATCAGAGAATCCAAACTACAAAAGTGACCCTTTTAACAAAAAAATGAACCTTTTCCAAGCAAAAAGTGACCCTTTTAACTGAAAAAAGTGACCCTTTTAACAGAAAAAAGTGACCATTTTCACATAAAAAAGTAACCATTTACATAAAAGTGACTCTTTTTATGCATAAAAGTGACCCTTTTCATAAATAGAAGTGATCCTTTTTCTACATAAAAGTGACCCTTTTCATAGCTAAAGTTACCCTTTCTAACAATTAAATCTATCTTTTTCTTGCTTAAAAGTTACCCTTTCTATAAATAAAAGTTACCCTTTTTATGCATAAAAGTTACCTTGTGTACCCGCAATATTATCCTTTATCATGTTTAAAGGTATTCTTTCTACCCACAGAAGTAACCCTTTCTATGCTACAAGTTCACCATTTTATGCAAAAAAGTGACCCCATAAAAAACATAAAAATAAACCTTTTAATTACTTTATGTATGCACATACATCAGTATTCCAAAAAAACAACCAAAAACTGTACACTAAGTTTAATTACATCATTGAACATAATGTACGCACATACATTATGTTTTTTCATTGTTCAAAAAAGACCCCTGACCTAATCAGCTAATAACTATCAATCATTTCACTATTTAGAAGGAGTATACTTTTTGCCTGCTTTTTTTCCCTTTTCCTTTGGTCTTTTTTCATCTGCCTCTGCCTTTGTTGCTGCTTCTGCTGCCATTTTTCTTTCTACTGTTTCTTTCTTCTTCTTCTCAGCAATTGCTGCCTTTAATCTTTCTTCAACTCCATTGACATAAGCAGGATCTTTCTTCTTCTCGTTGAACTTGGGTAATTCTAACAACACATCATTCCTAGATTCATTCAAATCACATAGCACCAGTGTGGTACAGATCACTCCTCGTAGATTTTTCCTTCCAATAATCTCACAATAGGAAAAAAAATTATCAATATGTAATTAATAAAAGCATTAGAAAGGAAAAAACTACAGAAACTATATAGATAATTAATGTTTTGAGTTCATTTAATTTGAATGATTCGCCAACAAAATGGAGCATGTGATACATGACAAAGACCCCATAGTCCAAATTGTAAACTTTATCTTTTCTCCATTCCAACTCAACAACTTCAAACCCATAAGAAGGTAGCTGAGAACTCTTTAAATGATTTCTTTTGCCAAGAAAAGCACCCATTTGAACACACTGACATTAAATATAAAAGTTTAGAATACATTAAAATCAAAAAAGTTAAAATGGAAACAATGAATCAACAGAAACATTACAAAAAATAAACCCAAACATACCATGTGTGAACACAATTCTTTTGTATAATCAAGACCAGAATTACGCCAGATAACGTTGTCAAGATAATATACCAACTCTTTTGTATGATCAATAACAAACAAAATGTAGTGATTCTCAATAAGAACAGGATAATAGATCTAAAACAGCAAAATTAAAAGAGATTTAGATAGAGCATTTCATAAACAGAACTCTTTAAAAGTTATGACATTAAGTTTAGTATAAATATACCAATTCAGCATCCATTATATCACAATCTGGATTCTCATAGTTCACCCAACCTTCCCATAGATCGTGCAAATCCTTAACAGCACTAGAAATTTTACCTTTGCCAAAATTATCACAAACATGCAAGAATGCAAACTATTAAAGTATAAGGTCTCATTAATAAGTATATAAAGTAAATGTGTTAAAATATATATATATATATATATATATATATATATATATATATATATATATATATATATATATATATATATATATATATATATATATATATAAAGAAAGAAATTACTTACACTTTGCCTCACACCAAAGAAGAATTTTTGAGGACCAGTAGCCTAAAAACATGCTTTCTCATTCAAATACAGACAGTAGCAACCAATAATGCACCATCGAATCCTGAGTGGAGCAACAAGGGACACCATGTCTTCTCTTGGAATTAAAAAATTCATTCCAAAAGTAACAAGGCTCTCACTGAAACAATAAAAAAATAAGATCAACATTAAAAAAAAAAAAAAAAAAAAGAGAGGAAAAAAAACAGATAAAAAAATAATTATCATAAAAATGACACTTAAATTCCTATTCATTGAAACATCCTTCAATAAACAATAATCGAGAACTTCCAAATGTAACTGAGGAAAATTCTTGAAAATCCAAGCATTGCCCTTCAAAAACAAAGTTACAAAAGGCACCTCCAAACCTACTGGCCCACAGTCCAAATAGCATAGAGATTTATTTGCTCTGATGATACGTCCAGCAGGTTCATTTTGATCAATATGCCCAACAAGTTTATTTTCAGTAGGACCAGGAATGATACTAGAAGTCCAGAACCATTAAGACCTTCATTAACACTTTTTCCATGACCATTGTCATCATCCTTAGGAATATCTTCATTGAAACCTTGTGCAGGTTCTTTTTCAGGAACAACATCTTTATCACCTTCTGTGGGTTCATAAAAACCATGAAACAAATCATGTACAAACTTCATTTTATTACACTCATCAATTAAACCATCTAAAATCTTCAAATAATGAGGATCAAAGAGTAGTTGTTCAGTTTGAGAAACTTAAACATAATCATCAGAAGATAATGAAACACTTCTGTGAGAAGTAATCAGCTCATTCAAGGTTTGAAAACCCGTTGACTGAACAAATAATATAACATCCATATTTCTTTTAAACAAAAGAAATGTTTCATGAACAACCTACAAACATATTTATGAACAAAAAATAAATAAATAAATGTTACAAATAAAAATAATTAAAAAAGTAAAAATTCAAAATATATGCTTAAAGTGACCCTTTTAAATGCATAAAGTGACCATTTTAAATGCATAAAGTTACCCTTTTATATGCATAAAGTAACCCTTTTAACTAAATATTTAGAATAACTTTAATGCATATAAAGGGTAACTTTGGTGCAAATAAAGGGTAACATTTGTACACAAAAAGGGTAACTTTTGTGCACATAAAGCAATAATAACTAAATATATAATAAAACAGAACACTTACATCAGTTGAAATTTCTTTAATGTCTTCATCGGTCATAATACCTTCTGGAAGCTCAAATGCAACAATGCGGCCAGTTTTACCA